ATATTTTTTGATGAAAGACATGCTTCTGCACTTTATACTATGAAGACCAACGGCTGGTGTTGGATGGATAGCATTGCTGGTTACTAACTTGATTTATATGTAGAAAAGTTCATTATACATTTCTTCACACAGTGGATTGCGTTATCATTTATGTGTACCATACTATTAATGCAATTACTAGTGTTACTAGAGTAATATTGTGCTCCCATTGGCTAGTTTTCCCTGCTGTTTCAATAGAAGGGATTTCAGCTGTACATAAATAGGAGCATACAGCTCAAAAGACTCATTAGGACTGTCCTGCTCGTTTATGGTTTTTCAAACATATTAAGGACTGAAACTATTACCATTTTCTTTACTTGTTGATACAATTCATATACTTTCATTTGGTTTGTGTATATATTGAAGATTTAACTGTTATCATTACAATTGCTACTGACTTATTGTGCTAAATTTTTTAGCAGACTTACCACTTTGCAAACGTTTGATTTAAATACTGAGGTTTTGAATACACCCATTTAAGGATTGTAAGTGTTAGTAACTATCTCCTGGTTGCAGCAATTAGATTTTTTCAATTAGATTTTTTCTTTTTGCTATTCCTATTCTTTATTTGATTATTTATTATGTTTATGATTAAGTTTGTAGTAATGATACACAGTTCAGAATCAACCATAAGAAGAAAAAAAATTCAAGAAGGCACAAAAATTATACAAAATGTAACAACTTGTGCAAATTTTGCTCCATGAAAATGTAAATTTGAAAGTAGATTACACATATATAATAATGCCAAATCACCCTAGATGTGTTCGTGCTCCACAGTCCACCAATGAACGCATTTTACAATAAATGTAATATAATTAGCAGAGACAAGAACAAAAACCCAAAACATGCACAAAGTTAAGACATTTAATGCTTAAAATAATTTACTTTACACATTTAAAATGAATATCTATTAAAGGTACATTCAAAATTTTTTATTTATTCGGTTTTTGCATTTGGTATCAAATTGGTCTGTCCAACAAATGATGGATAGCACGTCATCTATCTTAATATGTAATGTATTTAATTTCTATGGCATTTCAGTAATATGCAGAAATGTCCTTTTAAAATAAATTTAATTAACCAAGACATTCTAAATACGGAGATATTATGCATAATCCATGCGCAAATGGATGGATCACAACTTTAAGAACTCAAGGACATTTCAGTCATTAAAAGTAAAAAGGACTAAATTTTTTTCCCCCTTTTTCTTTAAACAAACAAAAAAAAAAAAAAGAACTTCGTTTAGAATCTTTACCTCCAGGGACAGGTTCACTTGCATTTTACCATCTTCATTTTTAGCTTAAGATTTGTTTTTGTTTTGTCTTTTACTAAAGCTAGATGTTTTTACATTTATACAGCTCTTCGTCAATGTATGTTTTTGTCGAATTGTCATATGAAGCCGGTTATTGTAAATGTTACTTGTTGTCACTTTGTAGCAGTAACGATTAACCTGCACATTATGCAAGACAAAAGGCTAGCAAATAGATGAAAGGCAATTTCAGTAAATATTTTTTGACGGCTTGGATTTTATGGTCATCATTGTAGAGGGTGGGTAAAAAATAAATAAATAAAAGTTGAATATTTAGATTAGGATAAGATGCATGTTAGGCAAGTCACTTGCCTTGTTGCAAAATATAGATGAAGTCATCCTGTCATTCACAGGACATACTATTTAGAGAATGAGAGGTTTTCCGATTAGACGGTATAGAAGTCTACACTTGAATGGATCTAAATTGATCTAGCAGAGTGGTACACTAACCAACACAGAAGGAAGACAGAAGGACAATTGTTAAGACTATTAAACATGCAATAAAAGTGCATCAGACATTTGGTGGAAGGCACACAGTGAAAGCTCGCGTGTGAGTTGCGCGTTAGTGGGTGAACTCTGACCACCAGGTGAGCGAACACAGTTAGGATACCTGATTGTATACACACCTGGGCTACGTTAAGTATAGTAAGAGTCTGGGAAATCTGCAATGTTAGATATCTCGAGTAAATTGATAATTGTAGGAGACTCACAGAAAAGCAATGTAACCAAGTACTTCATTACAAGAGTCAGCATTAACTATATGAAACAGCCCTATTGTACTAGGTAATTAACCTCTTTATATATTAAAATGTTTCAATAGTGAGCCTGTGATGAAACATACTATGCACTTTTCATATCAACTTCACTATGAACTTTTGTGTCTACAACCATTGGAAATTTTAGCTGTAAAATCGACAAGGAGATTTCAGCAGCAAATATTACCTTCATACAGTAACAAATTTTTTTGAAATTGCAGGTGTTGTGGTGCCAAAGTCAAAAGCTATTGTGTGACTATCCCATAATTCAAAAAACGTACACAGAGCCTAAAACATTTTTTTTCTCACTAATATAATTATAAGCATTTTCTAACACAATCAGAACATGAAGTGGTTGCTCAATTAAGCCATACTTAACAGCAGTCCCAGATACCGTGGGACAGTCACAAATTTGGGGCCCTATCCCACTATCCCTGGTTGTTTTAGCATATCCTGCTTCTGGGGACACCTGAGAAAACACAAAAAAAAACTCCCCAATAATAGCAGTGCGAGTGCATTGAGCTTGTGTTGCTCTAAATAAACTCACTGGAAGTACATCCCCTACTGGCCCACACCACCTGTATTAATATCTCACAATGCTAGTCGATATATTAAGATACAACGTATATGTTAAGATTGGAATAAAAGTCTCAGACTAGAATGTAACCAAAGGGCTTAACTGTGCAGTTTAGAAAAAGCTTAATATATACAGGCATGCACTTTTAATCAAGTGTACATTATAAGGCAGGTTATGCCAACATTCCGCAGATCAGCAGAAACTAGCTTATGTAAGTAAACAAATGAGATGATCATTTGCTCAGTCACATAGGAAGTAATGAACTTTAAAACACTTATCACACTGATATTACCTGGTCAGCAAGTAATGGTTTTGTGTCCTCAACCTCAATAATAACATCACGGGGAGGTGCCGAAGACAGCATCGCAACTAGAAACAAGAGATTAGTTCGGTTAGATAGATCAGACTCACGGATTTAATTTCTAAAGGGAACTTAACTACATGTTCATTGAGAAATTTACAGCCATGGACCACAGTCGAGTTGAGCTGTGTTAATGAGCCCAGAGGGTTGAAGTTGTCTACTATATAAACTGAAAAAGCGTTTTTGACCCAAAACATTTATTTTCAAATTTACTTGTGTATATGGGTAGTATAATGACCTTGCGTAGATAGAAGAAGAAAAAATATGTAAGAAACTTGTTAACTTTACCTTTCATTTCTGCTGCATCATCTTGTTTGGCAGAGTATGGGTCACAGCGAAATTCTTCCAGCACATCGATGGTGCACTGTCCCACCACTGGTTTCCGTCCAAAAGGTCGATGGTCTATCACTTTAATGATTATGGGTGGCACGTACATTTCTTCTTTTGGCAAAGGCTGAAAGAGAACAAAACATAACTTTTCAGGCAACAAAACTTGCTTACTGGAGTTCAGAGAGGTAAAGAGTGCTAGCTTGCAAATATACAGATGTACTCTACACAAAAAAAATAAAATATATAAAAAAAAAAATTACACTCATAACATTAATCATAACAATGTATATCTATGGCTTAGCTTACCTCTAAGTGTGACAACCAAAAGATAAAGGGAACATTTAAATCCCATCTACAAATTTTCAATGGCAAAACATTGATTGCATATATTGCTTTTCACACTAGTAATGTCCAGTTTCTCGACCACATTGGTTAGGAACACGTTGCAAAGTGCCTATGTTTTTATATTGCTTTTGGTGGTGGTGTGAAGACCCCTGTCTTGATAGATCATTCCCAACAACATTTATACACTTACTTGATGTTATTTATTTTATTTTTTTGAGTCACCTTGGCAATGGGCTGATTGACTACCTGACAAGTAAATTGAAAACTAAGTACTGGGTTGGGTAAAAATTTATGCAAACTATGTGCCCCCAGTCTGGTTACCGTACCACAGTCATGAATAGGACAGAGCTTTGGAAGTTTGGAGTTTTCTTTAGGTTCTTGATCATAGCAGATTGCACACTTTTCCCACCACATTCAACAACGAGACTTGGGGAATTCACAGACGCCATTTGGTAACTTTTCATGTTACGCAAGCCCCAAGTAAGGATCTAATGAAAGAAGCAGCATGTCAGTCTAAAATGTAACAATACGTTTCTCCCAGGCTGTTACTGCACCTCAGCTAGACCAATTTTTCCAAGTCAGTCAATGCATTCTAGCTAGACCTGTGCATACCTCCCTACTCGCTTGTTGCAGGTCGTATAGTTGCAATTCTTCCATTCCTTCATTCCAATTAGCCTAAATATTAAAATGTCACTTCTCTCCAGTTAGCCACAATTTTCAGTATCTACATACAGCTAAGCTGGCTCCAATTTTGGAAAATATTTTGCCGCTCTCCAGCTAGCCCAAAACTTTCCAGTGGTCAGCAACATTCTTTTTATCTTGTATTGATTTCACAGACTAAAATAATTCGGCAAATGGTAAAATATTTAATCTAACTACAGGAATATCAGCAAAAGCTTTGATATTTATTTCCATTTTTGCATTATATTCATATAGTATAATTTAAGCATCCCTGAATTATTAAAAGGCATTTTACCTCAATGGCAGTTTGCTGGACCACCGGTCGGATTCCTTGCGGCACCATATATAGCATTGGTGCTTTCTGGGAAGGTAGAATTGGCAAATTTGATCCATCCTACAAATAAACATGCAGAATTAAGCAATCACAATCTATCTGCACTCCTAACAAGTATCTTGTTTTCATAATCATAGCATTCTTACTATCAGTAATCTATGCATTTCCTAGAGAAATCAAGACTTCATTAATTAAAAATTCAGCAGATCAATCAAATGAGGTGAAAAAACAAATGCCCTGGTTCAATAAGCTTTCCAAATGATTCAATA